TGACGCAATGATAATTTCGTTATTAAAAGAAGATTCGAATTTTTCACAAAGGAATTCCCGATAATCTCGAAGCCTACTATTATCAATCTGCCACTATGACCTGAACAAGAACATAGTTGATCCAGGTCATTTTGTAACCAAACTATGGAATTTTGCGACAGTCAACGTAAATATGCCTCCTGATGCCATTGAAGCTCATCCATCCATACCCAAATGATAACTTTCATACTAAACTATGATTTGTGTGGCGGAATAGCCTCAAGTCGATACGATTCACACGACTCGATGTACAATCTCACCGATGATGCTGATGCGACTGAAGTGAGCTCAAAAGTGCAATTCAGTCTCGATAAGAAATTCGGTAGTAGTACGACATCTTCTCATTTCATCGAAGAAAAAACTGCACGTTCAGTCATTACTTCTTCTTAGGCGACGTAGGCTGATTAAGTTACCATTCATGAAATAATGATAACGTAAATCCTACTTATAACGTAATTAAATAACATTTAAATAACAATTGAGGCACCCTAGTTCTCTTAACGCGATTTTAGGAGCAGAATGTGACCACTCTGACTCTGTGGGTAACATAAGTAGCTCATGGCTTTTTGCCTTGAAGCGAAAGTTAAGTCAACATTTTTTCTTCTGATGTATTGTTTGACGATCTACTCGGGGCCCATCCTAAGGCTTCTTGTCAAGCGGTTATGATGCAGTCGAGAAATTGACGGTTTCGACATTTCTGCCGTCCGATTGCATTCTGCTCTCTCTGTCTACCTTCGTCTGGTTGCCGTCTGGCCAACAGCCCACTTGTAGGAGCTAAGAGTGCATGTTGAAACAGGGAATCGCGCCAATTTGCCTGAGCCTACCCAACCGACCAGCAGTTTCTCCCTCTCAAATGGAGCATTTTTGAGAGCCTCGAGCCCTTCGCTTCACGTTTCGCATGTTCTCCTTTAGTCTTTCCCCAACCTATGCCCCCCAATCGTGCTCCCGAGAGCCTCCTGGCCAGGAGCCTGTCCATATTAATAGAAAGGGCTTATTTTATCTTAATTAAAATTGCCTATACTATGCCTTTGAAAACATTGACTCACTTGGAGGATAGATAGCCAATCGATAGAGTCTCTAGCCACATGCCCACTTATCCCATCTCGTCTGGTTGTCGTGTTGCTTGACTGTCGCTGCCCATTTCTCCGTTTAGCACGCTATTTAAATGGTCTATTTCAGCCACCCCGTTGGGATTTAGCCTAGCCCACATGGCTTACCCTAATTATGGCTTTGGTCATGTTGCCTTTAGGAGTCGGCTGAGTTGAGGCGAAATTCCTGTGCTCAGGCGCAAAGCCGAAATCGTCAAGTCCGGAGTTATTGTCGGGGCGGACAAAGCAGTCACCAACCGTCCGTAAAGCCGTCTCCAGTGTGGGCGGTTCTGCGAAGAAGATGGTAACAGGAAAAAATAGAACAACAACAAAATAAGTATAAGATCACCGGTTGACATGAAGTCCTGAGAGACTTTGTAGAGTTGTGGGCTGAAATCAGCTCGATTCACTGCTCCCCTCGAAGAGAAGGCAACCTGACATGTCATCTGCCATTGGAGACTTGCGTTTGCTCTGCCCAGGAGATGTGTTGACGTCGGGACCGACTGCGAGAACTATGTTTAGACACCATTAGGTGTTAAGAAAAGTTGGGTTTCGAGGAATCTCCTGTTTCATATTTGTTGAGCTTACTTCCATTTCGAGTGAAAGTGTTGGGTCGGTTCAACCAGAAGACGACGGCGGATTCCTTTTGACCAGCTGTCGATTTGTTTTACTGGAAGATTCATGCTGATGATCAGAGCCTGACATTAGCCTTTTTACAGCTCCGATTTAGGAGGTTACTGGTGACAGGATTGATAGACACACACAGGCTCTTCCTAGTATCCTAGGGTTAGATTAGAGTTAAGTATTATTTTCGTGAATGCCAGTAAGTGAGATGTATACACACAATTTCGTTTAAGGTGACGAGGAACTAGTAGAAGAAGAATTTTCCCACAAGGATATGAGTTGAGCTGACGCTTCCATTGAATTTCACATAGCCTTGCTTTCCCATAAGTTGTTCTCACCCAGGGCATTGTTATAGCAAATATACGTTTGCTTCATCGACAATGCTACCAAAAGAGTATGATATGGCAAAAAGAGGCCTGGACTTTCTTGAAAATTCACATTTGCCCTGTGACCC